GACGGAAAGGTCCATATCGTGCATCGCGTGTTCCCGAAACTTTCCCCAGAGATGACGATCGCGAAATAGATAGGAAAGCGGCTGCTCGTGGTTATAATGTTAAGTGGCTCTTCTGCTTATCCGAAAATTGGGAAAACAAGGAAAAGTGGAGTAAGCGGAATACCCCTGATTAAAGATGAACTATAGTCCCCACTTGCCGAACGAGGAGAGCGCAATCTCGGCCTTGCTCAGCATTTCCGCCCACCCTCGACTCCACCCGGACGCTGATAACAGCAACCACTTTGCCTCGCTCTTTCAACAGGCATTATTGGAAGGAAATTGGGATATCGCTTAGATATCGTTCCTTTATTGTTTCATGCCGAAGGAATTTTTATTGCAAACCTGCGTTTAACGATAATTCAATTAATTCCGCCCGGGCGGTGATAACGCGTTGCGGCGACTTTGATTCGCTCTTTCAAGAGGCATTATTGGAAGGAAATTGGGATATCGCTTAGATATGGCTCCTTTATTATTTCACGTTAAAGGGATTCGTGGTGAAGCAAAGAGATGAATACTTTTTTTATTATTGATTTTTTAATATAACTTCATTTAATTTACGTGGGTTCGTAGTTAATCATCAGTGGTAGGAAAAATATCGAAAGAGAAGTGACATCGCTTCCCACGGTAAAAAAAGAAGCTCTCTCAGAGGGCGGAAATTCCGAGGTCTGTACGCGCAAGAACTCATTGTGAGTAAAATAAAAATGAAAATCGAGGGTCTCGTGGCAGGAAAATTATTTGGAAAAAATATCGAAAGAGAAGTGACATCGCTTCCCACGGTAAAAAAAGAAGCTCTCTCAGAGGGCGGAAATTCGGAGGTCTGCTCGCTCTCCGCCCGGCCGGTCGGTATTTCGAGTTTTCCGGTGGCGGGGGCGGAAACTCGGCCGAAGTTTTCGCGGTTCGCGTTTCGCGAGTTGTTCCCCGTTTCCGGGACAGCTGCGGCATTTCTTCCGCCCCCGGGCGCAATTCCGCCCGAGCGGGGCTGGGTTTCCGCCAGTTGCTGGCTTTTCGCGCCACTAAACGTTAAGTTTCCCGGCGGAGAAGAGCGAGCTCGCGGCTGAATTTATGCTTCATTCGCCCGGCACACACCGAAACGGCCGGAGAGAGAAGAAGAACCGCCATGGCAGGAATTCCCGCAGCTCTAGGTTATGTCCGCCCGGGCGAAAGAGAGAGAGAGAGAGAAAGATACCGAGGCGGGCGTAAATTACGGCACTTCTGGACGTATCCCTATTTATTCTTTCCCGGCCGGCGGAATTTTCCTGCTTTCTTTCTCTTGCTTTCTAACGCCTTCATCCCCTTTTCCTGGTCACCCCCTCGACTTCAGGGTACTTACCCTTCTTAAAAAAATTCATAATTTTTTTATCCCTGATATCTCTCGAGATTTTCCCATTCTTATTGACATTTCCCGCTTTATTATCCCCGTTAATATGTCGATTCGTCCCGCGGGAAAAGTAGATTGAGAAATGAGGAGAGGAAAAGTCGAGCTCCACCCGGAGGGAAAATTCGAAAAGGAGTTGGCTTTCATCGGGAGATGGAAGCATGCATATTTCCCTGTTTTCCATTTCTTTTCCCGCCACCCTCTCGGTCCGTGGCTCCGCAATTGCGGACGCGGTTCTTTTCTCTTCTTTTTCTCCCCTCCCCTTCGTTATGGAAATATGTTTTATTATTCAACGCGTTAGGGGCCGCTTCCGGAGAAAGCCAACAATGGCGGTCCTTCGTCTTTTCGAGGGAGGGTTATTGCTCCTCCCCTCCCTGCGGGAAAGTACTTTTTTTACCCGCACCTATGACAACTCGGGTTTCACGACACCGAGTTTATAACTTTCGGAGGAAGCATCGGATTAAATGTAAACGTCAGAGGATTCCGTTCTATTTCGTTTAATTTCGGCCCGTCGGCCCTGAGAGACGAGGGGCTTAATTTTCAATTATCGGCGGATACGCTGGCCAGCCGGCCCGAAAGAAAAAAAGGGGACAAAATTGGATTCTAATGGCGTCGAGCGCCCTCGCGAAACCATTTGTAACGCTCGTCCTCGAGATAATTGTTTCCCGTCTCCGCGGGGAGATGGCCCGTCCATGATAAGACCTCCCTCCCTCCCTTAAGGGTGCAACAATTCATTCCAGACGAAAATGCGAGACTCGAGACGAGACGGGTACTCCTGTTTCTTTTTCACTTGGAGAGGGAATGCAGATTTCCCATTAAAATCGAATTTCTTTTTTTTGGAGGGGAAGGCATTACGGGAAGTCTCTCGAGTAAGGGTGGAAAAGTTTACCCCTGAAGTGAGCAATTTGGGGGTGTTGGACGGTGTCGTAAATAAACTCGGGCTTGCGAGAAAGGTATTTGGCGCGAAACTAAATCAACCCTTTCAATGAATCTTCATCTCATTGGGCTCAGAATTCATGGGACTATTTTCACAATATTGCCTCCGCATCTGAAAGGGTTGCGACCCTTACAACCCTTAGAGTCCATACTAACCACCCTACATTCATCCCCTAACATAAGTCTCCGTTCTCAAAAATAAGAACCTCGGACCAGAAGGGGCGAAATCCATTCCCCACCCCTAGATTCATACCTCGACCTCGGATATTCAAATGTTCACCCCTTTCCACCCCTTCGACGCATTCCATTTATCGGTGTCGCGCGGCCCGAGAGTGTCCCAAGAGCAACCCATTCGGCTTCAACCCTTTATTCCGCTGTCGGGTGCAGCCACGGAAATGGGAACTCGAGAGGTTGCACTAGGGGTGGTTTGGGGGTGGATGGGGTCAGGGGGCACGGGCCATGGGCCGCTTGGCAGGAGGTGGCACGACCCCCCGCGGAGAAGAAACAGACGGAAGCGGCCGTGGGGGTGAAAAGGGGCGGAAAGTGGGTGGTAAAGGGGTGGAAAACGGGTGGAAAGGGTACCCCGACGTAATTAACGGAGCAACGAGTGGGAATAACAATTAACACCGTACATGTGCGAGAGGACCGGATGCGGCGCGCCGCAGGCCGCTTGCGGAAACCACCCCCTACGGTCCGGCGGAATTAGTCAGAGGGTGGCGGGCGGTGGGGCTGATTGGGAGTCTTGTCGATTGGTTCTTTTGACGCCTCACGTGGCGATATGATTTATAGGAACGGATCGATGCATCGGGATGATTGGTCGGAGTTTAAATGAAACCCCTCGGGGGTGGCGGGGTGGAATGCGGAAAATGAAGGGTCCTTTTTTTCTTTCTTTACCCCTTGATTCTAAAATTTACCCCCTTCGAAAATGGCGCATTAATCACCTCCACCCAAAATCATCCATTAAAATCGGTCTAAAAACGACTTTACGATTTAAGCGACCCTTAATCTTAAAACCCGCCCCTTTAAAAAATCCCACCTCGAGATCCTTCGAAGATCGCAGCCGGAGTAGGATTTAAAGGGGTAGTTCTCGACATCGATATTCCACGGGGGTGCCCGACTAATGTTCGGTCTTTGTCTCTCCCCCTTTGCGGGGGTGGCGGGCCATTTTGGGAAAGTGGCAGACGGCTAGAAATGCCATTTCTTCCCCCCGGAACATTTGCATCCAATGAGAAGCCTCCGCTTCGTGCACCCCCAGGGGGTGGGGGGAGGGGCGAAAAAATCGACGATTTAACGCCGAGACGTTTCGATCGATCGAACTACCTGGAAGTTCCTACATCGTAAAATCGTCGTCTCGGGGGGCGGATTTCCTCGACCGGAAGTGTATCGATACCCCATCGGTTCCGCAACGACGCGTAAAACGCATTCAACCTTGTCGATCATACCGTAAACGTCGCTCCATCGACCTAAGCAATCCTACCCCTTGTCGACGGATTTCTGCGGAGGTAGAAATAGGGAGGACGAACAGGATACGCGTTAAAAGAAAATAGAGATTTTTTAAGATTTATTTAGATATAGTAAGAATTTAGAAACTTCAAGGGTGAATTTTTTAACGAGTGGCGTAGCGAGTGCCTCTTTATGAAAATTCGATTTCGACCGTTGAAAATTACCCTCGAATGAACTATCCGATTTTTTAATTAGACACATTTATTAGGTTCTAACTACATTTTCTGATTTTCGAGGGTTTCACTTCATCTTAAAGAAGAGAGGCATAAAATGAAAAGGGGAGGGAAAAAAAATCGTGGAGCTCGAGTATTCGCGTCTTGGGATTTTTCCGTAAGACCGTTCTCATGGGGGGTGGTTCCCTCCCCCTGGGAAGATTGACCCCGATTCCGTAGCGGCCATAAAGCATCCGTTTCCCACGGGAAAAGCCACCCCTCGAGGGAGATACCGCACGTTCCTCTCTCGTTCCTTACTTTACGAGGGGTGTTCCGCCAAGATGGCGCCCGATCAACGCCGAAGGTACATCCACCTCTCGGATGTCGTGGCACCACTCCGACTTTTATTCCCGACCTCGGCTTTATTTCCCTTTTTATCCCTGCTTTCTCGTTTTCCAATCCCACGCCGGCTAAGCCGAAAGAGGGAAAAAGAAGAGTCCGGGGTGATGACACCTGTTTCGAGTAATTGGACCGCGCAGTCGAGAAAATGGGAAAAATAGGATATCATTGCCTCGTTGATCCCTTGAATTATTCTTATCATTTCATTTTTCACCCTTTACCTCCACTTCACGCGCGAACTAAATTTAAGGAGACTGCTAACCGCGATGAGATTAATTTGCAGTAATAATTCCCGTATATAATGTAAACCCGGGTAGAGTAGGATTATTGCATTTTTAAGTTTCTCAATAATTGAAATCCTCTTTTTACCATTTTTTTCGTCGCTGAATTCTTCCATAGGTAGTGCGGTATTACCTCATTTTAACGAATGGAATTCCCTAGAAATGCACTTCCTCGGGGAAAATCTTCCCAGGCAAGGAAATCCACGATTTAGCACTTTAACCCGCCTAAATCTCAGTTCCCTAGTTTATGCAAATTCTTCCTTGAAGCCTCGGCCATTAGGAGGTGCGACTACATGCGGCTCTTTTGAATTGCAGGTGCAGCTGCAGCGTCCCGGGTCTACGTAGATGCATTGTCCAGGTTGGCTCGTCAGGCTCAGCTCGGCACTTGGGGCGGCTCTCAAGACGTCGGTGAGTGGAAGAAAGGGGTGAAAGGGGGAGAGAGGGAAAAAGAGTCCCGGAACTCGAAAAGTCTCGCACGCCTTCTCTCGTCTTTGCTTTCCCCTTCTTTTTTCTCCTCTCCTCCCCTTTCGGGCTCGCGAGTCGAGAGTCGAAACGCACGATTAACGCATCTCGAGAAAGCGAGAAAGCGGGAAAGTAACGAGGCCCGGCTTTTGCGCAGTTTTCTCCCCCGGGACAACGGGAGTGTCATCGAAAACTCCCGAGAGACGTCCCGAGGGATAAAGGACTCCCCGGGGAAGAAAACGCGAGAGGAATGGGAATTAAAATACTGGGACAGAGATCGGGAATTTCGTGGTTAGGGGAACATATACAAATCGTAGACTACGTCATTAAATAAAAAATTATAATTTTATAATGCACCAAAAATGTATGAATTTTTTTTAACGGTGTACCTAGAGATATCCGTAAGGTATCTGTATGTTTAAAATAAGCGCGAAAGTGGTATTAAACGGCCATAACCAAAATATGGGGAAAACTGGGAATAGCCGGCGAATGACAAGATTGGCCGAGGGATGAAAAACGTCGGAAAGTTGGTCGGGGGTGGTTAAAAGCCGTCGGGGGAGGCGCGACTCTCGGGCTTCCGAAGCCAATATAAGGCCTTTGCCGTTTAACCGACGTTAAGCCAGGAAAGTCGGGGTGCCATCGGCTCGCTTCAGGAAAGGAAGTTCTCTAACGAGTTCCTAACAGGATCATTGCAGCGTGATAAGTGTACGTATTAAGTCCGGGTCGCCGACCGGTAAGCGGATTTCGCGAAGCGTCCCAAGTGCGCCGCGTAACTTCAAACTGGGGAAAAATGTCCTGGAGGTTGCACCAAATGCTTGTGGATTTTTTAATAGATGGCCTAGATCATGGTTAACGATATCTCGATCGACTCGATGTATTGCTAATAAACGAAACTCGTGTCCTCGCAGTTGGGAAAGCGGGCGTATCGTATGACTTCGCCCAAATCTGCGTTTTTCACCCTTAACTTCGCCCGTGACAAAAAACTCGTATATACAAGAAATACTCCATACGTCATGCCCGACAAATTTCGTTTGGATCATTTCGCCATAACAATGCCCGCTTACCCGACGCAGCGATCTCGCCGACCCCCATTCCCATTCTCCGACTCGAAAACGCAGCGCACCCTTGTCCGCTCCCGCCAGCTTATCCCGAGAACCGTTCCCTCAGGAGAGAAACGTCCGGGACAAAAATTCCGCGCAACGAAGTCCTCGACAACTTTCGTCGGAGGGAATTCCCTCGGTCTCGTACCCCATGCCTGAAAACTGCACGAGATGTCCCGTCCAGCCCGCCGCATGCCGTGCGATTGGTGGAATTTTCGCACTCGATGAAATTTCCCCGCTGTAGAAAATTCCCCCTTAACTCCTCGCCGAAGAAAAATCGCGAGCTCGGCAGGAACCCTCTCCTTCCTCCTACCCTCCCCCCCAGCTAATCTCCCCCCCGGAAACAAGTAGTTAAATCCCGGCGGGGCGAATTCGCATTATCGTTATCATTATCATTAGGACGCATGACATGTTCCGCAACATCCGACTCCCGTCTCGTGCTAATTTTCCGCTCCCGAGAAGCGCTTAACGGGGCCCCCCGAAAGCGAGTTACGGGATTATTTGGCTCCGCGGGTTTTGCGCAAAGCCAATCTCGCCCACCCCCCAATCCTGAAGGATACGAGGGTGCCCCCCAGAAGGGGGCCGGGGGGTGGTTTAATTCGAGGGGCAAATTCAATGTCGAGTCAGCTAGACGACGCTAATTCACCGGGTCGAATCTTTAACCCCCCCAGCCCCCCTGGAAGAGGGGGTTGTTTTGGGAAAGGGGGTAAAGGGGTGACTGGGGGCAACGGGAATGGGGAATTTCTGGGGTCCTTCGCGGAAATTCGGGGTCTTGAGGCGCTCGGGTCGGGGGGAGGGGGTTATGGGGTGTCGGGGGCAATGGGGGGATAACTTCCTCGAGGCTTAAACGGGTTTTCGGGACGCTTTGACGCTCCGCCTCGACCCGGCTCCCGAGGGACTCCACTGGCTTATTCTCGTCGTCACCTCCGGGAACGAAACTTACCGGAGTTGCTCCTGGAAATTAGAGTGCGGGGGCGAGGGGGAGTCACCCCCCGATCCTTCGACGGAAATTCGGGAAATTCGATATGCTCCGAGAATCTTCTTGGCGAGGGAGGGTTTTTATTTATTTTTTAAAATTAAGAGTTCCAGGACCTAGCTCGCACTATTTAGAATATAGGGGAAGTGGAATTAAATCAGAGCCAGATCGATATCGAATTTTATTCCTAGGTTGTTCGGAAGTATCGAGTCCTCGTGAATAAATCTAGCGGGAGGCTCGTTTGAAAATCCTGCTTGGAGGACATTTCGGAAAGATAATCATCCCTCGATCCCAAAACGGCGCCCCTCGGGACCGCCCGGGCGGGAATCGATCATGGCGGCGTTTCCGGGCGGCCCTCGCGAGGTTCGGGGGGTGGCGAGATGAGAACGATATTGAAATTGGCAATATCTGCCTGGCACCTCTTATCCCTCCCCCGCCATCGGGTCGTGGCTTCCGAAGAATTTCCACCACCGGAAGTGGGCGGCGGGCGGAAGTGGGCGGCCATGGGAAGCCTCGCGGCGAGGAGGGAAATTTAAACTCTATTACCCTATCCACCGCCACTGGGGGGAAAAATCTCCCCGGGCGGGAATGGAAATTCCCGATTTCTGGCGCAGAAGAAGCGGCCACGGATAAACGAGAAGCCGGTCGATTCCTTCCAGGGGGGAAGGATGGAATTTTTGGAAATGGAGAAATTGATAGGACAAGGTTTATCGAGTTTAAACTCCTCCGCCCTAAGTACTCATTTTTCCCTCTACAAAGTGGCCACCCTTGTAGACGAACTTAATTTCTCATATCTCGCGTTCTATTAATATACTTTGTTAATAAAGTCATTCCTAACGATCATGCAGGAAATAATTCAGGGAAATGAATGGAAAAGCTGAGAGAGAAATATCGAAAGGAGTCGACCCGAGCCGCGAAGAAGGGCGAAATGAATTTTCGAAATCCCGTCGAGGTGAATTTCTTTTCGACAGGCGCACTAACGAAGCTTTCAGATATTTCCTTTTTTCGGCTCGGTGGATTTCATCCCCGTTTTCGAGCCATCGATAGCGACTCTCGAATAACGACTATCGCGTATCGCCATCGATCATTATTGTTCGGTATGATGAAAGCCGCAATTTGCGGAAAACCAGCCCTGTGTTCAACAGGGGATGGGGGGTGGTGCGCTCGTTGAGACTCAAAGAAATCCACCCACCCACCCACCCACCCCCCGGGAATAATTTTGCTAATGGACATTTGACGCCGACTCTCATATCCCCCGTTAAGGTCCCTCTCGACAATTTGTCATAAGCGAAATTTTGTCCTCGGAGCGAGTTCGTCCTCGATAAAAAATTCTTATCGGGGAGTTCCGGCCGGACGGGAATTTCGGGGCCACCCCTTTCAGGGGGATGAAGCCCGTCTCACCTGTTAATTTACAGGCGCGAATCGTCCGAGGGGTTGGCCGATCGGCGGGCGTTAAAATTCCTGGCCGTAAATGCGCTTTAATAATAATGCAAGGTGCGTAACGAGCGCGCGTTAACGCACCGAGTCACCCGTGAAACGAGCGGCGGGTGTCGTGCCACCCACTGCCACACATTGCCACACCCTGACGCCCCCTGCCACCCACTACCACACACTGATACCCACTACCACCCATCGCCATGTACTATCATTCATCGCTACCCACTGCCACACATCCCCCTGCACCGACACTGCAAATACGTAATAATTCGTAATCGCCCTGCCGAATTATGGGACGAACGCCCCCTGCGCTTTTCCACAACTCGAAGGGTGGTTTATCCAACGAGGGGACGTTGAAAATCATGTCGGAAATTAATTAACTTCCCCGTTTGTTGATTTGGGGAAGAAACACACAGTCTGGCGGCGCGATATCGAAAATTGAATATAATTTACTGTTCAATTTCTTGTATTACACGGACACAAAGAATGGGATTTTCGACGATGGGGTGTGTGATCGAGACTTTGCCAAGGGGTGAGAAAATAAATCCGAGCATAACGCGGTGCCCTTATCAGCGGCTTTTTCGTTTAATCCTCCGGGGTGGCTTTCCACCGAATTATCAGAGGGTGGTATAAATTCCCGGGTTCATTATCGGTTATTCAGGGGGGGGTGTCGGTAATAAAATTCCCGTTGACACCCCCTGGGGGGTGTTGCGGCCAGGATATTTCAAAGGAGGTCTGACGAGTGGCTCTTTGGGGGTCTCATCCCCAAGAGAGGGTGGAGAATCCCGGAAAGGGCTATATTTCGGACACTCGACGCCCCTGAGAGGAGCCACCCTCCTCGGATTCCCACGATAACGAGATATCGCGATATCAGGGGCTGGGGTGGGGGAGGCACGAAGGGGTGCTTTTTAAGACGACTTCGGAAGGGGGGTGCTACTCGGAAACTCGGAGCATCCCTCTCCCTCCAATTAGCCTAATGGACGTAATCTCCTAATCGTTGTTCAAATACAAAGTACTTAGACGGTAGTGCGTACGTGGAGATTCGATCTTATCACTGCGCCTTGGAGATAAGATCGAGGGCCCCAATCCAATCTGCAAAGTGGACCCCATCGAAGTCGCATTTACGAGCGGTTTGATTTAATTGACTCGTCTTGTCTTATATCTTCGTTTTATTTCATTGCAAGCATTTAATTAAAGCGGTATTGCAAACTTCGTCGGTCATGAAAACCGCGAAAAATCCAAAATTTATCCAAAAAATGAGAAATGATTATCCGGGAATGAGAAATGTGTCGAACTCGAAAATGTCGAGCCCGATCGGCAAATCGGGCCCGATCGAGGAATCGATTAATGGCACCCTCCGTGTTATATTCTTGCCCATTCGCCGATTTTCCAACTCGTCCTGAACTGTTACGGCGCAATTAATTTGCAGCACT